ATTATTGAAAAGAATTTATTTCAACTTTCTGTACGGGTTATACTTTGCGCACTATGATTACCACAACCTTCCGGTATGACAGCAATCGAAGCAAAGTCCTTCACCGCTTCGTGGTATATGGTAGTAATTGACTGGTTCTTGATCGGTTTGATATACACACGGTCCATCGAACTGGCACGCATAGGAGAAATATTTCGAAATAATAGAAAGGTTAGATCCTCATTGGAGATAAATATGCGTTGTTATATCATTAATCAGAAGCTTGAATTGTCCATTTTTCAAGAACGACAAAACCAACAAACACCATCAAGAGTAGACATTTTTTTAAACAAACCCCATTAACCTAAACTCAAAAGGGTCATGTTACTATGCACGATCAGTTTCTTTCTATGTCCATATCTGATAACCATCGTATCATATGAGTAGAAATACGAGCAAGATTACGAATTCCATTAAGGCCATCCAACTATAAACTGAAGTGGGCATCACAACATTGTACTCATTGGGGAACAATGATCTCTGAACGACATGAATCAATTTGCGGGTCAAGTGGAATAGATATGCAGCCATCATGATAAACAATCCCCAGTTGCCTTCTATTGCATTTGCAGATGATGTGCGCAGACAGATGATTGCACAGTTGATTAGCATGATAGTCGAATCTATGCTGTTAAAGATAACCCTTCGACACAAGTTCCTGTGAAGAGAATTTGATATATTATCGACGTATCATGTAAATGCTTGACGGATTTTGGTCATGACTGCTATGGTAGCCTATTGATCGGTAAATCTTTTACTCTTATCATTGCAATAGACAAGCAAGAATTGATCAAAGATTTAGCAGGCTCAGTTCATATATTCAATGCACTATTTAATGAACAAGTGCCTGGAGAATCTTCAACATGAAATAATATCAAGAAATAAATGTACCTTGCTGAAATATCTTCATCTTTGTCATCTTCGCTTTCAAGTGTTGTCCCAGATTCCTCCTCTCTTTCAAGTGTAGTCGTAGATTCCATCACGGGAAAGTTCTGTTTGAACAAAAAATTGCACGCTTATAAGCTTAGTGTGTTGGAATTGGCAATTCAACGAACCAGTATATGACTGGAAGCTATTTAGTTTACAAAAGCGACACAAAAGGAGTTACATAGAGGATCCACAATTTATTATATATACGGATTGCATTTTTGTTGTAGCCTGTTGGAGTACAGTTTAAAATCCAGTGCTGACCCGGAGAAGGAAAAGGATGAATGGTCAAATGATCAACCAGCAAACTTGTTGAACCGGTTCTCAATTCAACCGGCCGGTTGGCGAACTTGCATTCCACTTTTACTACCATTTATTCGGTTCCAACAACAACCAGGTCACATAATAGTAGTAAATATGATGGGAAAGCAGCAAAAACAGAGAAACAGAATTACTATCATAGCATTAAAAATCAAGGAAATAGCAGCAGAATGCATACTCCCAAACTTGATGAGGATTGAATTAGAGAAGAATTTGCCTTTGGAACTGCAATTAAAGAAGTGCAAAAATTTTGTTGGCCTCTTTTCTCCTGCAGATTTGTTGGAAATGTAGCACCAGAAAAAGGTTCATACCATGGAAGAGCCCTTAACCACGGTCCAAACTTAGCCTCTCCAGCAGAAAACTTGCATCTCAAATAATGGTTCCCAATCCTACCACATTTATAGCAAAATTGTCCCAATTTTTCGTACTTGAAATCGATCCAAATATCTTTCAATCCAGGGCGCCTAAGCCAAAACCCAGTTAGAATTGGATTTCTAACATCCAAAATAACCCTTAATCTAAGAAATTTTCTCCAACAAAATTTCCCATCAAACACAGTCCTATCAGCACAGACAAAAATCCCCAAATATTCACCAATCTTGGACACATTTTCTTGAGATAAATAGTTGATAGGCAGCCCATGCACCTGTACCCAGAATACAGAATATGAAAAGGAAAGCTCTGTTGGGACTTTCCCGGCGCACCATACTGACAATACCAAAAGCCCACCTCTAATCGTCCAAGGCGAGTCCTCAAGAACGTTCTTCAAATCTTCTTTGCTTTTGAATGAAAACATGAAAATGTTGTGAGTAATGCATGACACTGAGAAATCATTTTTACACTTCCATTCTTTCTTTGCAATGGATTCCACAAGATTTCTGTCTAAGGGTTTGTGTAACATTATCTTTCCTATCAAACAGATACTCTCAATTTTCTTGGTGATTTCTTCATCTGCTTTAAGATTGATGCTAATTTCTAAACTCTCTCCTCTCACCATATTTACAGGTTAATGGGAGTGGGAAAAGTGATCGCATGAATCGAGAATAAAAAGGGCTTTGGGGAATTTAATGTTAAGGACTAGTGTCAGAGGTTCAGAATTTTTCTGCAGAGAAAGCGACAGCACAAAGGAAAATGATTATTTGAACCATTTTTCCATTCCTGCATTCTGCAATCTCATTTTTTTTTTTTTTGATACCCAGTTTCCCAGCTCGCCAGACTATATCCTGGATCTCCAGCCCCTAGCCTCTTAGTGATTGGTGGAGGTAAATCGCGGTATATGTCCAAGTTGACCAGAGTTCGAATAGCCTTTATACTCCTGGCCCCAAGGGACCCTCCTCCATGGTTATTACATCACCAAGCTGCTCCAACCAAGATGGTTATTACAAACACTCAACTGCTCCAACCAGGAATTGAACTTCCCACGCTAGGGTTGCGAGCCCCGCACTGCCCTTCCTTTGCCAACTTGGATGTGCCCCGGGAGGCTCATTTTTCTTTACTAGGAAATGAATTGAAAGCTCAAGTATTGAACAAAACGTTAAATAAGAGACAAATACCTTAATCGCACAAGAACTAAGGTTCAAAAAAATAATACATAATTTTGTTCCTATAGAATTAACTCCTGCATCGCACAAACACAACGTTGCAAAGACACAAATGTTGTTAAAAAAAATTTAAAACTATAAGAATTTAGAGAAAAAGAGAGTAGAAAATAGACAATAGTCTGAAGTCTATTACCGAAATTAAGGTAGTGGGGAGTGGGAAGGAATGGTATGCACCAAAAAGAGAAAACAAACAAATGAGAGGAAAAAGACAAATTTGAAACTTGCAGGATGGACGATATCTGGCAATGCTTGTTACTGTAACAACATAAAGTTGAAATTAACAGAGACAGATTCGTGCTTGTGTTATGTGGGAGACAAACAAAAGAGTCCTTAGTGAATCAAGAAATCCATTTAATATTAGGGTGTTTGACATAAAGTATTAGCAGATTTCAATAAAAGTCGATGTTGTCGACTCAATTGAAGTTTGATCGATTGACAAGTTGATAACATTTTAACGAAAAGTTTTATCAAACAAGAAAACAAAAGAGAAGTTTCTTGAGCTTCTTTTGCTTGCACATGATGTGCTTTGTAGATTTTGTATTTTTAGTTAATTTTTAACCCAAAAAGATTTGGTTCTCTAGATAAACCAGCCCAAATAAAGGACTAAGTTGCCTCGAGTGGCATTACATTAAGATAACAAGAAAGCATAGATTGTGCTTGTGTGTGAGACAAAAGAGTCCTTGGCGAATCAAGAAAATTTACATACCAACAAGAAAGAGCAGCAGAATGCATACTCCCAAACTTGATGAGGATTGAATTAGAGAAGAATTTGCCTTTGGAACTGCAATTAAAGAAGTGCAAAAATTTTGTTGGCCTCTTTTCTCCTGCAGATTTGTTGGAAATGTAGCACCAGAAAAAGGTTCATACCATGGAAGAGCCCTTAACCACGGTCCAAACTTAGCCTCTCCAGCAGAAAACTTGCATCTCAAATAATGGTTCCCAATCCTACCACATTTATAGCAAAATTGTCCCAATTTTTCGTACTTGAAATCGATCCAAATATCTTTCAATCCAGGGCGCCTAAGCCAAAACCCAGTTAGAATTGGATTTCTAACATCCAAAATAACCCTTAATCTAAGAAATTTTCTCCAACAAAATTTCCCATCAAACACATTCCTATCAGCACAGACAAAAATCCCCAAATATTCACCAATCTTGGACACATTTTCTTGAGATAAATAGTTGATTGGCAACCCATGCACCTGTACCCAGAATACAGAATATGAAAAGGAAAGCTCTGTTGGGACTTTCCCGGCGCACCATACTGACAATACCAAAAGCCCACCTCTAATCGTCCAAGGCGAGTCCTCAAGAACGTTCTTCAAATCTTCTTTGCTTTTGAATGAAAACATGAAAATGTTGTGAGTAATGCATGACACTGAGAAATCATTTTTACACTTCCATTCTTTCTTTGCAATGGATTCCACAAGATTTCTGTCTATGGGTTTGTGTAACATTATCTTTCCTATCAAACAGATACTCTCAATTTTCTTGGTGATTTCTTCATCTGCTTTAAGATTGATGCTAATTTCTAAACTCTTTCCTCTCATCATATTTACAGGTTAATGGGAGTGGGAAAAGTGATCGCATGAATCGAGAATAAAAAGGGCTTTGGGGAATTTAATGTTAAGGACTAGTGTCAGAGGTTCAGAATTTTTCTGCAGAGAAAGCGACAGCACAAAGGAAAATGATTATTTGAACCATTTTTCCATTCCTGCATTCTGCAATCTCATTTTTTTTTTTTTTGATACCCAGTTTCCCAGCTCGCCAGACTATATCCTGGATCTCCAGCCCCTAGCCTCTTAGTGATTGGTGGAGGTAAATCGCGGTATATGTCCAAGTTGACCAGAGTTCGAATAGCCTTTATACTCCTGGCCCCAAGGGACCCTCCTCCATGGTTATTACATCACCAAGCTGCTCCAACCAAGATGGTTATTACAAACACTCAACTGCTCCAACCAGGAATTGAACTTCCCACGCTAGGGTTGCGAGCCCCGCACTGCCCTTCCTTTGCCAACTTGGATGTGCCCCGGGAGGCTCATTTTTCTTTACTAGGAAATGAATTGAAAGCTCAAGTATTGAACAAAACGTTAAATAAGAGACAAATACCTTAATCGCACAAGAACTAAGGTTCAAAAAAATAATACATAATTTTGTTCCTATAGAATTAACTCCTGCATCGCACAAACACAAGGTTGCAAAGACACAAATGTTAAAAAAATTTAAAACTATAAGAATTTAGAGAAAAAGAAAGTAGAAAATAGACAATAGTCTGAAGTCTATTACCGAAATTAAGGTAGTGGGGAGTGGGAAGGAATGGTATGCACCAAAAAGAGAAAACAAACAAATGAGAGGAAGCAGACAAATTTGAAACTTGCAGGATGGACGATATCTGCCAATGCTTGTTACTGTAACAACATAAAGTTGAAATTAACAGAGACAGATTCGTGCTTGTGTTATGTGGGAGACAAACAAAAGA